GTAATCCTTAGAGTATAGCTTTTATGAGAAAAATGATTTTATAGTGGGTTGCCATTTAAAAAAATATTTTTTTTTGTAGAACTCAAAAACAAAAGCAAATTTCGAAATATTTTATTCTTGTTAAATCATCACATTTTTATAGCATTTTATCACTCATCAATTAGTTTTTTCAAAAAATAAATAGTTTAAGCAAAAAACGTTTGGTTCCATACTTTTTATTCACCTGGTATAAAATAAGTATGAAAGTTACAACAGAAAATTACATTTTTTTCTAATTTCTTTTTTTTATTGTGATATTTATAAATAAGCTATCAAGAAAAAAATATGATTACATTATACAGTATGATGAAAAAAAGGCGCCCGTGTTAACCCACACGTTATAAGTGATCTTTTATTAAAGACGAATTCGAAGACCAAAATTGGATTTGTGCTCTTATCAGTAAGATATAGACATTCCTTTTTAGAAAAGAGAAATCTAAATAATTAACAGTTTTAAAATAATTTCATTGTTAAAGTCTAGATTTTGATACAGTTGACGGTGCTCTTAAAAAAATGTGTAAAAAGTCTATTAAAATAAACTTTATTGAAGATGTTAGAATACCATTTCTTGGCTCCAAAGAAAATTTATTAATGTTGCAACATTGCAAATATCCTAGGATACAGAAAATGTCCAAGTAATATTCAATTATTGCAAACGGTAGCTACAAAAAAAAACAATTTTCAATGTTGTTTGTTCTGTGAAATTTGAACGACAAAAATTCAAAGATTAAAAAAATTAATTGAAATCAGATACCTTCTGGTTGTATCGTATTGGAATAAACTGTTTAAATTTTAAAAAGAATCTATTTAGACTATTTTTGGAATGATGGTCACAATGTTTCAATAAAAAAGGACGCGCCTGTTTCAATGTGGGCGCCTTTTTTTCATCACCTTGTATAATTAATCATTGCGACAATTACCAAATTCTCAAAAAAATATACTTTTTTGACTTCTTATTTCTACATAATCCTTAATTGATATTGATTCAATTTGCAAATAGGGGAGCCAATCAATCGTAGAAATGGGCACACATTCTGACCCCTCTGCGTGTCTACTCATGATTACTGCGGATTACTTGGGCAATTACACATATTTAGCAACTTTTTATTGTTGCAGGTTGCGGTCCTGGACACGCTCTCTTGGGCAAAACCCGAAGACCTCGGACAGCATTTACCTCACAACAGTTATTAGAATTAGAAAAACAATTTAGACAGAACAAATATCTATCAAGACCGAAACGATTCGAAGTAGCGACAAGCTTAATGTTGACCGAAACTCAAGTAAGTCATCGAATTTCTCAAAAAAAAAGAACAAAAAAATAGAAAATCAAGATTTCTATAAACTAAAGCCAGAGACGTGATAAATTCGCATCACATTTCCTGCAGTTAGTCATCACAATCCTAAAATATGACTTCTGTCTGTTTGTTTGAAGTTGGGCTTAACCCTGCTATAACTCTCACAAGAAGAAAACAGTTTTGATTTTGTTTCATAGTTATGGGAACAAATTAGATTAAATGATAGAATATTATTTTGTTATTTTTAATAAGTTTTTCTTTTCTCTACAGGTAAAAATTTGGTTCCAAAACCGTCGAATGAAGTGGAAACGCAGCAAAAAAGCTCAGCAGGAAGCGAAAGGATCGTCAAAGGATGATTCGGTGTCAAATAAGCAAGCAGTGAGTTCTTCTCAAGGAAACTGTAAGCCAACATCGTCGCAAGAAAATTTGGAAAGCCAAATAATAGAAAACGATCCTAGTCGAAAAATTCAAGATGGTGAATCTCTGTATAGACCTTACGTTGTGTAAATATTATTGATGAAAAATGCTAGCGCTTCTGACGCGTCTAGGTGCATTATGATTTTGTATTGTAAATAGTAATTAATAAAGTGTACTGTGAAGTATGATCTCGTTAATAAGTTTTTTTTGTGATGCTACCTCATTATGTTAAATTTCCAAAACTTAGGGAGTTGTACATATTTTAAAGTTCCTAATTATAAATATGATATGTAAATGGAAGATGAAAAATAAACAATAAAACAAGAGTTTATCACCTGATTTTAGTGTTTTTTACTCACCGAAAACATTTCTTTCTATTTCGCGTCTTTAATAACAACGCTATTAATTTGCTTTCAATATTCTTACCAATCTTACAAATTTTCGGTAGCGCAGATGAAAAGACTATTTTCTACGTGTTCTCAAATTCCCTATTTTCTTTTTCTTTAAAAAGTGCAAAATGCCATAAAAATTGTATAACAAAAAACTATTCAGGCAATCGTTTAAACTCTTACTTGAATAGATATGTTTTCAGTAGCTCAAACGGTTACTAACTGCGAGTAGTTTAATTATGTACTCAAAATTAATAAAGACATACGTGAAAACTTCCATGGCCCTCCCTGAATCAAAATTCCGTTGCGTATATGATATATCTAAAACAGATAAATTCAATTCAAAATAGTTTTTTGTTAAAAAAAACGTTTTAAACTGCTACAAGATCTAAAATTAATGTGAAACTGCTTCCATTTCCGTCTTATCAAACTATGTTGTCAAAGTATTCTCATGATTCAATGCGGTGGCGCCGCCAGAAGCAAGCCAAATAAAACATACCTAAAACAATTGAAGCGCGAACGAGGGTGATCTGATAGCGTTCGTTTTGGAAGGGGTAATGTTGTCTGCTGATTGGTTGAAAACTTTTAGATTGGTTCCAATCTTAGTAATTTTGGTCGAGAAACTCATAATTTATTGCCTTAGTGAGCTTGTTTCCAAGTACATTGCGATGAAAAAAGCAAAGAGAAAAGAAAAGGAACTCTTGCATCAAACAGACAAAAATATGGACGTGTTAAATCGAAATGAAACAAATGGACCGACAAATATCGATCTCTTTTTACACATGAATAACTAAAAGTGATATTAGGCATTTTAGAAGTGGACCAAACGAATGGCCTCAAATATTTTTCCTCAAAAACATAATAATATTTTATTTTTCAAATTCTCCAAAAATTTGTTTATGTACAAGTGCGAAACAAGCAGAAATTTGTTTTTAAAAGTAAAAGATCAAAACTTTCTCTCCAGACTATCCCTCATACATATTACATGATATCGAATCAGTTGTTAAGTTAAGCGAGAACTCCACTTTAGACAAAACCTTTTAGCAAATTACATCAAGAACGATATGGACTTGTAATACATACAATTCGTTCAGAGAGAAACGTTACAAATGCCAATTCGCCCTTTAGAATAAACGCATTTCGCCCTCTTCTATTAGCGCAACAAAGATGGAAAATAAAGACACATAAATAAAAGCAGAATGATTTTTATAATCTGGGGGTGCTTTAGTTACGATTGCGGTTCTTTTACAATTCGTTTAAATTTATATCAGTGAAAAAGCTTAAAATTTTTCTGAAATCGTTTTCGCACGAAATAATAAAATAATCTGCATCTAAACTAATTAAACTTGATTAATATAGGAGTTAATTAAGGTACTTTTTTATTAAATACATGTTTGTCATTTAGTAACAAAAATCATCTCTTAATTAGTTGCTTTTTGTTACATTTAAATATATACATAATCTACATAATACATACATATTATATATAATAATTGCTTTTTGGTGAAATGATGGATATATGTTTATAGTAAGTATGATATTTTTGGGGGTCGGTGGATTTTATCGGTAAAATCATAATTCTTTCTCCGTTTGGCATTAATGGCATCATCGGAATCTAAGTAGGGATCGCTGAGCACATTTCCCTAATTTGATGAAACAAATTGCGAGGCCAAGTCAGCCGAGACGCCGCTAACGTTTCCTGAACGGAAGTGCCCGTGGCGGATGTTGATTGGTAATTGTTTCCCCGCAGATACTGACGCCCAATCAACGAGCGAGAGTAGTGGTGCGGAAAACGGCACTCTGGATCTACTCCGACGGAATAACAATTGCTCCGTGTTAGTGGATCTTTGACGATGGATACTTGATTTTATCGGAAACAACATATAGATGGTTCTAGGATGAATTGAAGGGTTAAATCAAATTGTAACGTAATTACACAGGGCGACAAAAAAAAGTCATGTCGTGATCACTTGACAAATTATACATATATCATTTTGTTCGTCTCAGTGAGCCAAATCAAAAAAAATAAAAAGTCCACACACTTTGAACAAAATATTTTTTTTTTAATTTAAATGAATTTAAAATACCTTAACTTTAAAGAATCATTACACAATAACTATTAGCCCGATTTCCTTCAAATAAAGACCATTCTAAAGGGATGGACTTGCCCTTTAGAATGATATGAAATTTGGAATTGAATATTGGCAAACTTTTCTTCGAACAGTGTTCCAGGAAGTTCGAAGTAAATCGAAATAATCTAAGAAAAACCCTACGAGTATTTTTTTTTTCATTATTACCATCGTGTAGAACATCTCTTTATTAGTTGTAATCCAAATTTTCAAAAGAATATATCGAGTAGTTTTCAAGATATGATTTTTTGAAGTTAAGGTTTGCTAATCAAACATTGCGCCATATAGGAGAAATGCATGTTAATCTTACTTAAAATTGCATTTTTATAAAAGTATTTGTTTTAAGACTCTTCTTTTGCTTAAAAATGGGCACGAGCCTTAAATATAAGGGCGAATCTTTTTCAAATCAAATCACTTTGCATCCAGATTTCGACTTGTTCACTTTGTTCTAGCTTTCTGAACTTTTTTTGAAAATGTTCTGAGCAAATGCTTTCTCATCACTTTCGAGTGATGTTAAATGCAATAAGTCACCTGATTTATTTTGTTGGTACATTCTACGATTAGTTTCAGTTAGCTTGTAGGTAGTAGTTGTTGTGATAAGAGTTGCACACGAAGCAACTGACTTATTGCATTCAACATTAGTAGAAAGTGATGAGAAAGCATTTGCTGAGAACATTTTCAAAAAAAGTTCAGAAAGCTGGAACAAAGTGAACAAGTTGGAATCTGAATGGAAAGTGATTTAATTTGAAAAAGAGTTGTTCTTAAATTTAAAGCTACTGCTTTAATCTTCTAGATGCTTTTTGCTCAATGATCAGTGATTATTTTTAAAACAAAAAAACCCTTTATTTGCTTTAATTAGTACGCAGGTACTCTTTGTTTGTTTTAAGTAAAGAAACAGTTTTTGTTTATTCTAATTAGAACAAAAAAATTGACCATTTTTAGGCAAAAGAAGAGTCTTAAAACAAATACTTTTATAAAAATGCAATCTTAAGTAAGATTAACATGCATTTCTCCTATATGGCGCAATACCTGAATAGCAAACCTTAACTTCAAAAAAAATCATATCTTAAAAACTACTCGGCATATTATTTTAAAAAATTGGATTCTTATTAATAAAAAGATGCTCTACACGATTATGACAAAGAAAAAAAATACTCGTAGGGTTTTTCTTAGATTACTTCGATTTACTTCGAACTTCTTCGAACACTGTTCGAAGAAAAGCTTGCCAATATTCAATTTCAAATTGCATATCATTCTAAAGGGCAAGTCCATCCCTTTAGAATGGTTTTTACTTGAAGGAAATCGGCCTAATAGTTATTGAGTAATGATTTTTTTAAATTAAAGTATTTTAAATTCATTTAAATTAGAAAAAAATTATTTAGTTCAAAGTGTGTGGACTTTTTGAAAATTTTTTAGTGCATTTAATTTGTCTCACTGAGACGAACAAAATGATATCAAATTTGTCAAGTTGTCACGACATGACTTTTTTTGTCGCCCTGTGTTATTGTAATCGAAAAATTATAGGCGCATAAAAAAGATTTTAGATGATATCATTGTAAAAAGCAGCAGCTTTGGTGGGTAATCATTACACTATTAGGTACAAAATAAAATGCAATAAATTCGATTATGTCAAGCACATGACAAATTTTTACTTTCCACCAATAGCATATCTTTATGTCATCCAATCATAAGCGTCTTTTGCGATTAAAATTCTATGTTTACTGTGATTGAAGTGATTCATCTTCTTGTCCTCATACCAGATGAATTTTTTTATGTATAATTTTTTTAATTTCTATTTATTAAGTACTTTTGGAAATATAATACATTCAAAAAAACGGAAAATGTCAAAAAAAAGTTTTTTTTCAGTTTTTCCACGGTGTGAACATTTATAATTTTCCTACCATTTTCCAGGTGAGCGACGATTTTGGCTTTCTCGACTTCACTTAAATGCGGCATTGGAGAAGTTGGTATAAATTTAATGACATTGATGACATATTTTTGATAGGTATTGTCAAGTTGATAATTAACAACTAGAACCAAATTTACATTTGGAAAATTTTCATTTCCAGTTCTTTTTTTAATGTAGCTGTAACTCGAGTCGAGTTACTCGACCATCGTTTTTTTTATCGAATAAATTTATGAATTTCAACTCAACCTTTTTTGTCTCAGACAATTTTACTCGTTGAAATTTTGATACTCTTATTCAAGGGTTAGAGGCCTCCAGCTACGCTGTCGGGCTTTAATCAGAATATCCAAATTCAACTCGTCAATTTATTGTCATCAAAAAAAAAGTTTTCGTAACATTTAAAAATTTTTTCGATAAAAAACGATGTTATGTAGGGTGCGACAGAACTCGCGCCCCAGATAAAAATTTCAAGTAAGATAAGATACCAGGAACATCGAAAAATGTTTAAAAAATTTTGACATATAACATTTTTTATGTCTATTTAATGATACTGATGATTTTGTATATGTTTTTTTTACAATTATTTAGTAAAGGTACAAAAATTTTGCCAATAAAAGCCACAAATAAATTTGAACAGAGTTACAATTTAGGATAGAGCTTCTTTGTTTCCTCTTATGATAGCCTGTAGCAAAAAAAATTGGAAAATCATTTTCCCAATAGAAATAAATAGAGTCAAAATGCAAAATTTAAACTGTCTTTACTTCAAAATTTTTATAGATAAATTTTTTTAACATTTTTTCCAGGTTCCTGGTATCTTACATTGCATTTTTCTCTGGGGCGCGAGTTCTGGCGCACCCTGTATTACCTATGATTAATTTAAACGTTTCTAAAAATGTATACCTACTTA